GCGAACCGGCAACCTTCTTGCAACAGTGCTACCAACTGCGCCACCCTGCAGCCCCTATTAGGTAATCAGTTGTGTTTATTATTTTGTTGCAGAACCACATATCTGTACTTTGGAAACTTCTACACAAAATCCATCATTCAACTCTATCCGCAGCGTGTCTGAACTTTAGCTAATCAGCATCAGCAGAACGGGTGAGGGATTGCCAGCCAACCGTTCAGTACGGGTGAGAGCTCCATACAGCTAACCGGATTTTTCACAAAAGATGTTGAAACAAGCAATTCAGGCCATAAACTCATGAGGAAAAGGAGAAGTTGACTCATTTTCTCATGGACATCTGAACAATTTGACTTTGTTTGCAATCAGACAAGTCGCCCCCTGCTGGAAATTAAAAGAAATACAGTCACCAATTCAGACAACCTTTGCATTGGCTTCAGTTTTTAGACCAAGAGGCCAACTCCATCATTTGTACATTGTCTATAAACTCAGCTGTACTGTTTTGTTTAAATGTGTTTACTACAGTTAAGTACTTTTTGTTTTCTTTGCTGCTCTTCTTCAAGCTGAATCTTTGTTTTCTACATTTAAACAATGAAAACACATATTTTGTTGGGGACATTTTTTATTGCTAACATGACAAATCTGTGGTCCAGACAATTACAGAGCTTTTTATTCTTAGGCATTATTTAATCTCCCCACTGATCCCATAATCCATTTTCCAAATGGGCAGAATGTATTTTAGCTGGCATTAACTGTTAAACATTTGGGGGCTGTTTGTTGTATTATAATGTTCCGCTTAAAATGCAGACCCCGCGTCCTAATCTTCCAGATATTGAAACTTCTTTTTTTTTTTTTTGAGCAGCTGAGGCCATGTGGCGACAAGCGAAGGCACACCACATTTGAAAACAAGGCACAGAGGTGTAAAACAGAAGGCTTAAATGAGCCACCATTCATGAAAAGGCTCTGACACAAATTAAAAATAATGGCAAGATTCGTTCATTCCCTACAGCTGGTTGTACTTGATCCGACCATGCAGAGAGCCAACACACTCAACATGTTCAGCCACCGGGAGTTCAATTAATTTCCAAATCCTTTCATTTGAAGAACCCTTTAAATTGATTTCCCTGGACATGCAGCGCCCCAAACTCAACGTTTAATGCTCAAGACCTATTGCACCGCATTCACTTTCGCCGCCTCGGCTTTTGTTTAGACACCTGCTGGCAAAGAGAGCAGCGGCGGAGTGAAAATTAACTACACAACCATAGATTTCTTAATTTTCTGCGGTTAATGAAGGAGCCTCCAACTAATCCCAGTACATGAAAATTACATTTCCTCCTCGCTTTCAAGTTTTCATTAAACATTGTACTTCGGCAGTAAGCGATTTGTCACACCGCACGAGCTTTCAGACTTGGGAGGAAGTTTCAGCGCGATCGCTTCAATCCCAGTTTATGTCAAAATGATTTTCTTTTACTGTCTTTAAAGGAAGTTAACTGAGGGAATATATTTTACATCCTCATTAATCATGAATATCAGCATTTTACAATTTATTATCGTTTCCTTTCGGTCTTGCCACTGAGGGACCTGGCTTTCAAGGGTTCGCTTCAACAACAGAATGAAGCTTTAATGCACTTATAAATAAATGTTTTTTGTAATGCAAGCATATATGAATGCATCATTGAGCAGATTATATTTTGCATTAACTGTTTTCTGTTTGCTGCTTTCTAGTTTTAAGAGACGTGCAGTAGTTACAAAAGCCGAAGAAGAAAATCTTTCCAGGGCAGTGTGAGATAGTTGGAGGGGACGAGAAAGAAAGAGATTTGATGACTAATATACTGTGTGATGCGTTCAATAGTCTTAACTTAACCCATCATAATGTAATTCTGTGTATGAGGATATAAATGCATCCATACCTGGATGTAGAAGTGATAGAAAAAAGGCACCTCAGAACTCATCTGACAGTAATCCTATTTAAAGTTTTCATCAGTGTTAAATATCACCCTAAAAAATTATGTTTGGGCTCAACAACAAAACTCAACATCAATAGTTTTGAGTTCAGACACTTT